TTGCATTATTTAAATTACAAAAGGCAGGCATCTGAAAAATGAGATGCTTTGTTGGGCAGTCATATTCATGAAAATTCATTCAATTGTAAGGGGGGTTGAAAAAACGGGGAAAAAAACTGCTTGCTGATCAAAACGTAACGTAAGCTGTACCATTTCATTTAAGCAGCAAAATACACATACTAAAAAAGAAAGTTTTATATGATCTCAAAACTGTGTTTCTATGAATTTGGCATACTTTTAGCTAGATAGCAGTGGTAATCCAATCTATTTAGTTGGTTTATTTCAAAAAGACAGGAAATAGGGTCCATTCTAATAGGTGACACAAGCACTTTGCAGACTGAGTGGCTGATGCGAAGGTGACAGGCGAGAACATCACCAGCTCCATTGCCTTTTTTTTTTTCCCCTCCAAAGCTGTACTAAATTGAAACATTGCCTCTGTATACAACAAAAAAATTGACTGAGTTCTCTCATCTCAGCTGGCCTGTGAGAAGTACGAAATAAAGCACAACTTAGCATAATAGATCAGCTGCTACGATGATTGCTTCACAAGGTGACTCTGACCACTGGCATGGTAGTGTCACCTGGGTGCTTGCTGTCTCTCATTCCTCCAGGAATTTGTAGTGCATTTGTAGTGCAGATGATGCAAATAGCAGGTTCAGCTGTGCCACATGCAACAAGACATGATCATGAAAGGAGACTAAGGATGGTAAGCACTGCCATGGGCTACATAAAGGGTCCCATTTCACTCCCATGGCATTAGTGCCTAATGATAAGCAATGTATTTATAGAATAGAATCATAGACTCATAGAAGTGTTTAGGTTGGAAAAGACCTTTAAGTTGAGGTCCAGCCATTAACCTAGCACTGCCAAGTCCATAACTAAAGAATGTCCTTAAGCACCACATCTACATATCTCTTTAATACCTCCAGAGATGGTGACTCCACCACTTCCCTGGGCAGTCTGTTCCAACGCTTAACAACCCTTTCAGTGAAGAAATATTTCCTAATATCCAATTTAAACCTCCCCTGACAGAACCTGAGACCATTTCGTCTTGTCCTATTTCTTGTTACTTGGGATAAGAGACCCAACACCCACCTTGCCACAACCTCCTTTTGGGTAGGTGTAAAGAGCGATAAGGTCTCCCCTCAGCCTCCTTTCTCCAGGCTAAAAAACTCCAGTTCCCTCAGCCACTCCTCATAAGACTTGTTCTCCAGACCCAGAGCTTTGTGGCTATTCTCTGGGCATGCTGCAGCACCTTAGTGTCTTCACTCACATTTGCAATTCCTTATTTGGGAGGAAATTTGTACAGTGATTAGAACTGAAAGGTAATACATTCATTGCTCTCTGATTCACCTACTGGAGCTGTTTGTAAAATTGATTGATGGAAATCCTTAAGGAAGAGTCTGACAGCACTTCATGGCATTGAAGATGTAGGGCTTTTTCCATCTTTTCTCCACTGTGGACTCCAGCATTCAGAAGTATCCTCTTATGCTTTGCCCAGCAGCTCTGCACTCCAGAGTACAGCACATGCAAGCAAAAGACCACAGTCCAATTACACGTGTTTTTACCACCACCAATCCAAAAAAAGTGCCACCTCTATTCAGAATTTCTTCAAAGGAGACATACAGCTGAGCATACTTTCCAAGGCTGAGAAGATAACATTTATGTAAAAAAAAAAAAGTCTGAAAGAGTATTTCTAAAGTTTTCCAAGTCTTCATCTACAAAATATATAACTGCTTAGTTGCAACTAAATTAGCCTAAGCAACAAGGTACTAAAGCAATGAAAGGGAGGGATTCTTTAAGTTATCCCTGTCCAGAAAGAAAAAAAGGCTTTTGAACATATGCTTCATTTTAAACACAGATGGAATTAAGCATGTGCTTCAGTTCTTTTCTGGGTCAGAACAAAAAACCCTGAAAATCATAGCTATGTAATACTTTGCCATGTTACAGTAGAAGCAACTAAAACGTTGCCATCATATCCTTTCATATGATTTCAATATCCTGCTTGAGCGGGGGGTTGGATAAGATGACCTCCAGAGGTCCCTTCCAACCTCAGCCATTCTGTGATGCTATGCTCTAGAGATGAAAGCATGTTACAGTTTTATACTTATTCATAACATAACAATATAAAGCATTGTCATTGTTTATGTAAATAGTAAAAAAATTACCAAAAGGCAAATATGTCATTTGCATCATTCATTTTTCTTTATTGAGCTTTGATGAAAAACAGTCCATTTGAAATATTTCCAGCAACCATTTCAATTCCAAATGCTCAACACAAAAAAATTGGTATCAGAGTTCAAACATATAAAGTTACATCTCATTATAATTTAATATTTAACAAAGCTAATCATTTCTGATTTTTCATAATTAAGTTTACAAAAATAATGTTACATTTATAAAATAAATCAGCTTTTCCCAATAAATTACAGCGGTGTTCTTCTTATTCAAAAATGTAATATATCATACAAAATAGATAACAACTTTTTGTCAGATAAAATAGTAAAGTATATTTTTCATCCAGTACCTTTGGCAGTGTGTGAAAACTTTTTATTGTACATTTGATATCTAAAGTACAGTGCGAACACTAAACTCATTACGCTATTATGCACATTGCTTATATAAGGCTAGGGTGGCCACCTTAGGAACTACTTTTTATTTCCAGTTAAATGTTTGTAGTCAGACCCATACTGCCATGTTTAGGCAACTGACTTAATTAATCTGACCCAGTAAAGTCATAAAGATCCAACTTGAGCTCAACACTCTTGCTATGACAAGTACACAAAAGTGACCCTTCATTAGTCAACTTTTGGGCTGCTCAGTATCTCTCACGCATGCTTTACCTTTGTGCTTCCCCACAAAGTGTTTTTGGTCTACCTTGTAAAAATAGCACATTCCAGATTCCCCTAAAGTTACTGACAAAACTTCAGTGCTTTATTCTGTCATAAAAAATCATATTAAAGGGGACTTGTAAGAAGAGCAATGCATTGATAGGAAATAAACAGTAAACAAACAAAAAACAACAACTCTAAAAAGCAAAAGGTAAACATTAAGAGCTATTATAGGCAGACTTTACAGAAGCATCTACTTCAAAATAACATAAAGAAACACAGCATCTACCTGGTTGCAAGTGTATTCTCATTTAATAAAGCCTTTTCAACATTCAAGTCAGCTCAGCATTTACTGTGTTACATTTCCTGTCTGCAAAAATGCATCTGAAGAATCATATCAGTTTGCCTGAACAACCTTTAAAAGCCAGAGGTCTAACTTCATTGGAAGCTTCAGTTAATGCAGATGTCTGGTTCAGGACAATCAACATCTCACCGTGCAGAATTTCTGACTCCGCTGTGTTTTCTCTTTGCAATACTTCAGTAAACTTGCCCTCTTTTTTTTCTGTTTCTCTCTTACATAACTTCTGGGAAGAAAATCTACTTTAAAGTACTAAGGGAAAAACATTGCTGTCTGGAATAAATAAAACGTGCAAAGTGGTGATTTCCTTATGACGTCAGTATTGTATGAACAGATCACTTTATATATCATAATCGATTACTTTCACAAATTATAACTGAGTGACTATATGCCCAAGTGTGTGTGTGTCACGGGGTCTTCTTTGTGCAAATCCACAGAGAGTCCAAATCCAGATGGTTTATTATAGTCTCCAGACACAAAATTCAGTCATTGTTGGATCCTCCCAGACTGGAAGGGGAGGAAGAGGAGTAAATCAATTCATCCCAAACTTCCGAAAACTAAAAAGTCCAGAGGATGAGTATTTGGTATGCTGGCTGTCTTCTGGTCTGAAATACCATGGCTCAAACCAGGAACATCTGGAGCTGAATTCAGGCATGTTTGCTGCTTGACTTAGTAACTCAGCTACATAACTACGACTTCTCTGAAGATGAAGTTTAGAGTGGTTGTTGAAATATGCATTCACAGCCAGTTAGGTAAAAAAATACAGCAACTACATTTACACTAGTAAATCGAACAGTACAAAGTCTATAATCCAGCCCTGAGGTCAAGTGGCGTGGTCTGGCTGTATTCCTGGTTAAACTCTCTGTGCCCCTATGGAGAGGTGGCCATATCCAAAGCACCTGGGGAGAAGTGTCCCTAGACTGCTTGATTCCAAAAGTGTGCCCAGAGCTTGTTTAAGACAGTACTAGTGAGTTCTGACCAAAAAGCATACCAGTCCTTGTTCTAAAAATTTAGCAGTACAAATGGCAGCACTGATGCGGGGGCACTGTGCAATTGACTGATAAAGACATTACTGTCTATGCAGATTTTTAAAAGTCCTCAAACATATTTGCCCACAGCAGGTGCTCTGATTCATACAAACAGATAAGCAGGGAAGTTCGAACTCTTTTTCTGAAATTTTACTTGAAAGAGATGGTTCTTTCAAATCCAGATTTTTTAAAAATGAGTTGGGTGTTTCTGTCCATTAAGCACTTTTTTTTCCCATTTTTTGGTAGTCTGCTGTTTTACTATTAATGGAATCTTGGCATTTGTCTGATTAACCTGATTTTTTTTTATGTTTACAATTCACAGCTAAACAAGCACTAACCAGTTCTGTCAAAATGAAAAAAAAAATTATATACACATCTAAAACAATAATATTAAGACAACAATTAAAACAGGAAATAAAAAAATGGATCTGTGCTGTTAAAAGATCTAAAAATAGTATCGACCTCTGTACATATCTGTCAGACTGCAGGGTCCACAGTTACAGCTGTATGCAGCAGTCAGAGCAGTGAGTATGACTTCCCAAATCATGAGGTGTTTCATGAAACACCCACAGTAGTGTCTGCTAAGGAAATAATTTCCTTTATCATCCTGAGATTTTAAATGTGCAAGTGTCCTACCTATCTACCTAGTGCATAAAGTGGAAGAAGGGAGGTAATGAAAGAGGGAAGGAGGGAGGGAGAGAGAGAAGGAGAGAAGGAAGGAGGGAGGGAAGGAAGAAGTGAAGGAAGGAAGGAAGGAAGAGTAAGGCAGAGTCAGAAACAATATCACAATGGTTTTTGTTTCAAAATGGATTGCTGTGCAATGACTGAAGCCTGATTTGTAGACATTTTGTATTCTTGTCCAGACCCTTGAGGAGGGGAAGGTAATGGAGTTTCTGGAGTTGCTGAAAAAGAATATAGAAAGAATTATATATTTTTATATTCTGACCTACCTTGCATAGATGTATATGTATTACTGTGCTGAAAGGATGTTCTTTTACATTTGGCATGTTAGGGAAACAAGATACTTTAATTACCAGATTTTTTAGTTTATTAAAAATTATGCCTGTGAAAACAATGTTGTATCAGAATGGTGCAGTATTTTAAAGATCAGATTAAATACAGATCAAAGTCTCTGACTTAACACTGTTTATATACATACCTTTTTAATGGACAATTATTTTAATTTAAGAATGCTGATGAAATAGCTCTATGAACACTGACAGGTCACCATTCTAATTAATATTTTAAATTTAACAGTGAACTGTTATGACAGAAGGCTAACTTGCAAGTACTTACAAATCTGTTCTGTATGTACAGGTGCAGACATTGAACTTATGAGGATAGTTTGGCCAGTTAATGGATCCTGGGCTAAGTGAGGATGTACTGGATGATGCAGATGACTGGCATCATTAGAAGTACCTGCAATAACATGAGCATATCTCAATTCAAAAGAGCGTGGTGTTGCCAGTGACTAATACTTCAATAATTAACATTTCTGCAGAGCTAATATTTTGATTGGCAATTTGAATAATTGCCTCTGGGTATTCATTAAACAATTTAACCAGTCTTCAACCATATTAAGTACTGTGCTAATATGCACTGTTTTGACTACATTAACAGTGGATTTAATGAAATATTTGTAAGGAGTGTTTCGTCTGCCTAGGGAATTATATGTCTAGATACCCAGCAAAGACTGAGAAGTACACAGCACAATCTGAGGTTATAGGACTAAGTTACCAAGATGAGCAGATAAGACAAGAAGGCTTTAGCTAGCAACCATAAAATCCAAAGCCCAGCCAGCAAGGCAGTGGACAAAGTGCTTGCTCATATCAAGACTGCCTCAACATCCCAGTAAGCTAATTCCAACATAATACAACATAGTAAATTTAAGTTGTTAGCTTACCTCCCAGTAACATTTCCTGAAGCAAACTGTCAATTTTAACAATTCCAAATAGTTTAACCAGTTGTATTTGCTCAATCATTTGCCAAGTGATGCTCTGGAGTGTAGGGAGTAGAAGCAGAAGTTCTCCAAACCTTCCTCGGGAGTCATACTGACGATCATTAATATAATCTTCTAAACTGATTTGGACTTGGAACCGCATGTTCTTAATCTTCATTGGATTACTCAGGCCTTTTGCATCTTAAGAAATGACAAAAACATAAAGTCAAGGTAGATTATGGCTTGGGCGGAGCATCACACTTGTTTTCACAGAACCACAGAATCACAGAACGTTAGGGGTTGGAAGGGACCTCTGAAGATCATCTAGTCCGACCTTCATCCCAGCATACCTAACCACTACACCATAGCCTCAAGTGCTAGATCTACTTTTTTTTTAAACACCTCTAGAGTTGGTGACTCCACCACCTCCCTGGGCAGCCTGTTCCAGTGCCTCACCACTCGTTCAGTAAAGAACTTCCTCCGAATATCCAATCTAAACTTACCCTGACGCAACTTGAGGCCGTTTCCCCTTGTCCTGTCATTAGTAATTAGAGAGAAGAGACCAGCACCAGCCTCACTACAACCTCCTTTTAGGTAGTTGTAGAGGGCAATAAGGTCTCCTCTCAGCCTCCTCTTCTCCAGACTAAACAAACCCAGTTCCCTCAGCCGCTCTTCATAGGGCATGTTTTCCAGACCTCTCACAAGCCTTGTTGCCCTTCTCTGCACCCGCTCCAGCACCTTGATGTCCTTCTTGTACTGTGGTGACCAAAACTGGACACAGTACTCGAGGTGAGGTCTCACGAGTGCCGAGTACAGGGGCATGATCACCTCCCTCCTCCTGCTGGTCACACCATTTCTGATACAGGCCAGGATGCCATTTCATTTTATTGTTTTCCATCCAGCTAGATAACATAAGCAGATGCTACATCAACAAAACTTAATGTCAATATAATCACGTGTAAATTAATTTTGAGAGATATTTTTGAGAAAGTACCTGGATCAAAAAACACAATTGCTTTCAAGCAAGCGTATTCATTGTCATCTATCTGAATTTCCTGGAAGGGTCGAACTAATTCATCTAGAATCCGATTTGCCACTCGGCTGATCTCTACTTCAGCACTGTTGCGATGGATTATGTAATTATTGCCTTGAAGAGAAAGAATACCAACATGTGGATTGACACAACATACTAGATAAAGCCCATTTGCAAAAGAACATTTCATTTTGCTTAATCAAATTAATATTTTTCTAAGTAATAACTCTCCTTTGTATCATACAAAACTGTTCCTTGCAAACAAAGTTATATGTGCAAAATATAGCTGTCACCCAGTAAATAATATATGCATGTAAATATGCCATGTACAGTTACTGATTAGTTCACAGGACTGAGGCCCATATTTGAATGCACAAGAATGGAGCAAGTAGGCCTTTAGGTAACAGAGAAATGTAATGGTAAACTGATCTTAAAATTTCTTCTTCCCTCATTAAAATAATATATCCCAAGATGAATGATCAGTGGAGCCACCACAAATACTTTTTTTTTCTAATAGATGCTTCTCTTACTCCTAATAAAATTTAGAAGCATCATAAAATTTTCAGTAAATAATTAAATTTCCTTGGTCTTGAATTTTAAATTTCCATTTTCTAGAAGTCCTCTCATTGCATTTTAATTCACCTTCTGTCCAGAAATCATCTGTCATAAATGGTTAGAACACTAGGAAAGCTATAGAGCTTCCACCAAGTAGTTTTTGAAAGAAAGGCTGATGATTATATCACAAGAGATCCATGTTAAAATGACTAATAAGCTTTAGAGATATCTACCTCTAAGTATCAGAAATAAGCCTTGGAGTCTCAAATTGTTTCTTCTTTTGATATATATGTTAATGTTGGTGGTAATGACTATAAATTTCTGCTTATTATTTTACCATTATTTTCCTTATTACCTACTAATCCCAATTAAACTGCAAATATTTCCTTTTTATTTATGTTAGTTTTGTCAGTAAAACTGTATCTAGAGAAAGAACTAGGTTAAGAAAGTTATTTGTACAGTTTTTAACTTGAAAGGATTGCTGGTGAGAGTAGGATCTCCAGAACAAGCCCCTCTTGTGCTTTTAATGTTACGATGTGTGTAAAAATAAATTCAAGCCTATTTAGAGCTATGAAAAGGCAAGCCCAAAGAGGAAGGAGAGCAAGTAGTGGAAAACTTCCCTGCACCACACCACCAGTGGAGAAACTAGTTTGAATCCATAAACCGCCCAGTCTTGCCTCACATCAAAAATCCCATCTGAGAAGACCTCCTCACTTTCTCACAGACCAGCACAAGTGCTGCACACGTTTAATGGGACTGCTTTGGGCAGGGTGGACTTCAGACTGGCAGGGTACTGCTCCAAACAATGCTAGCAAATGCCTGATCACATCACTGTACATCCACACGCATGCACACAACAGAGAGACACAGTACTATGTACTTCAGACATGCTTCCACAACACGATGACATCTCCTTCCCTAACAGCCATGATCTCTTTATATAATGCAGTGCAGGAGCCATTTCAAGTGACCAAGATAATGCTTATGCAGGTGTTGACTCCTTACTGTGCCATGGATGCACCCATCTCCACATGGCATGGGGCAACAGGCGTGATGTTTACATGATGGCCACATGGCTACTGTCAAGGCAGCAGTGAGAGGGCCCTTGGGATAGCAAGTTTCAGGGAACAGGCTATCCAATTTTCTAGTCTTCCCTTACTATGTCTAAAAGGATCCTGAGAAAGATCCAGATAAATGGTTTTCATGAAGACTGAAATCAGTACACGGGCCACAGTTTGGCTGCTCTGCTTTTAAGCAAAGGTTTTTTACAGTTTTTAATTTGTTGTTGTTTTGTTCTGGGTTTTTTAAGGGACAGAGGTGCAGAAAGGATACTAATGTAAGGAGATAATTTGCCAGGAAGTCTCTTTTAGTTATGGTTTCTGGTATCCAATAAACCTTCAGTTGTACTGACTTGCATAAAAATGTCCACCTGCTGTGGCTGGAACAGGGCACGTGACATTATGTCATTAATAGCTATTTAGCATTCACAGAACGCATTGCTTTGACTGTGCCAGAACAGTTGTCTCACTTAACTGATTACATGGTTGCTAATGTACTATAACATCATCATTATTAATTAAAACAAAACCAATATTTACCTAAAAGTAAAATGTCCTTATATGCCATGGACCGTTTTGCTGCTCCAAGCAACAAGTGTTCACCAGCATGTGCTCTTAGAAGGGCAACCTCATGAGAAAAAAAAAGCAGACTCAATAGAAGATAAAGCAGTAGGTTCCAATAAGGGCAAAAGAAATGAGGACACATATTATCCTGCATGTATTCAGTTACAGGTACGTGTTTAAGACTGCTGAGATTCTAATGTAAAATGCAAAATGAATGTAAAAACCTTAACACTGTACTAACAGCACACTATAATTAAATTGTCATCCTCTGTCACTTCCAGCATTTGGTCTAGATTTTAAAGGGCTCTGAAAATACTTCTCAATAAATTTGATACTTACATTTACTTCCTACTGCCTATTCCCTTTATAAAGTTTTCTCTGGAATTTTAAGTTGACATTAAAGACTCCAGTGGGCTGGAATGAAATGCTACAGTAAATTTGGCACTATCAGGGTTTCTTTCTTCTCACCCTGCCTGAACCAAAAATTTATGTGGCACTTAAAAGACCTTTTTCCCCAACAAAGCCATATATGCTAAAATATTCACTGCTACCAACAAAGAAGAGTCATACAAAGGAGGCACTTACAAATATCCTCATTAGTTTACTCTTTCTCACCTATTTACTTTGGTTTTGATGTCTGCTTGAAACCAGTACTGATCACTATTTCCTCAAGGAACTCCTCTCTTGGCAATTAATTCTCTTCTTGCAGATCCAAGCCAATACTTTAAGAGTGATGTAATGTTACATAGCATCTAAATATGTTAAGATTTTTCAGTTTCTCAGCAGAGTTAATGTATCTGCTGTGGCCTGCTCTGTGATTTGCAAATCAGGCTGATTACCATCTCCTGAAGTGCCACATCCACCCGTTTTCCTTTCATGTGAATAGATTTTTAACTTATTCCAGCACATTGAGCTTGTGTACACATATTGTATTCCGTGGGTCTGCAAAGATATCATTAAGCTTCTATTTGGAGGGGACTCCTGTAGTCTGAAACACCTCCATTCCCGAGGAAGAGTTTAAGAGGAATGAGCTCAGCTTGAGTCTCAAACCCGATGATCTAACTTTCCCTGTAGGATGTTGTTTAAAAACTGAGAGACTGAAGAGACAAAAAGGAGGAATGACACAGCTCCACCTAAAGAGTCATTTTCCAGCTAAATCAGATTTTGGTGGACTGGAATCAAAAGATCCTGAGCCGTGAATTAACCTCCTGCCCAGGCGGCTGGTGAGAGAACTGCTTACCGTGATGTGGAGACACTGTTGAGTGTGCCAGCACAACTTACGTCACATCCAGTGTAACATTAGGATATATTACAGATGTGATGATATATCTGATCGCTGGCATGAAAACTCTTAAGAATTTTTAAGGTGTGATTTTTTTTCCCCCCACACTCAATATATACACTATAAATTTAGAATATTGTATTATATGAAATATTACTTGCTATGGATTGATAGCATGTTTGGCATTTGTCCAAGATTCTAATGGCTTTTATTTTTTTGCAGGTAGACAAGAGCTGCTTCAAAGTAAATAACATGCTGTCTTAAACCATGCAACAAAGAAAGGTGAACATGAAATAAATACTTTGCAAAGCCAGAAAAAAGCATGGCTTTTTCTACTAGATTTTTTTCATTCTGGCATGCAGATTGGTATCTCTGCTTGCAAAAGCATGCAGAAAGCACAAAACATTAAAAGACATACTGGTTTGCTGCTTCTTTTTGACACACTAGAGCCTTTACAATTTCCTCTGGTTTTGTTTTGTGGTGACGCTATTTCAAAATTTTTAAAAAATTAAGGTGATGAGTCTAGCACCTAGCTCTATTTGATCAGACAAAAAATGAGTAAAAATGAGTGTTTAATCATCATAATATTTATATGTCAGAGAAATAATAGGACAATAAATAAAGTTCTGTCTTTGATGTCTTCTTATACCTGGTCATCCAGTGGTAATTCACAGAAGCCTGGAATATATTTAGCCCATTCCACCAGTACTAGAAGTTGTTGCTTCATAGATTCACAGACATCGCTAATACCAGCAATTTTCTTAACATTTATGTCACTGCTAGCACCAGGACTGGGGATTGAGATCTGTCCATAGTGAGAGAAAAAATTAACAATGTTAAATCCATATAAATGCCTTTTCACTGGGCAACAGCATATTTAAGAAAAAATCACAGCAGTAACCATGCATACTTTTGAGAAATTCCTTGACCATAAGGACCATTATTCTGCACATAAATAACAAAATTTTATTTCTCATTTTAACCTGTGTGTATTACAGGATGTTAAAAATTACACTGTTCATATCATGACATAGTATATTCTCATGCCAAAATATGATTTTTAAATATACTAGAGCTCTTATTATTTGTAGGGGGGAGGTGTTTTTTTAATTCCTTTAAAATGGTTGACATTTACTTCATTTCAGGAAAAAAAAAAATGCTCATAAGGGCATGCAGTAATGTTAAGGGCAAAGAAAGAAAGAGATAAAGGGGTAGCATGTTCTCCTAGTGGAAAGACAAGTATCATTAACTTTAGAAGGTAAAACAGGGGTTTTTTTAGTGCCTGGAGGAGAATGGTTTGTAATGATGAAGCAGCAGTATAGGCAGAGGCCTGAGACGTTTCAGAGCAAATGTAAAGGATATGAGTGTGCCTGCCTCACAGACCACCTGCAGTGAACAGTGTTACGTGAAATAAGAAGAGAGCAATATCTTTCTGGGCCTGAAGCTGGGGCACTTTCACATAATCACTGAGCCAAATCCTGGAATTCTTAATGACTTTTCAAGGAAAGGAACAAAACCAGGCTTGCTCTTAAGCCAGGAAGGAAAGACAACTTAAGAGAAAACCAAGCCTGAGAAGAGAATGTTAGTTTATAGCTGCTATCATATCAGGGAACAAAAAAAAAAAAAAGGAAAAGGAAAATAGATAAAAGAAAAAGAAAAAGAAAATGAAAAGGAAAAGGAAAAGGAAAAAGAAAAGGAAAAAAAATGAAAATGAAAAGGAAAAGGAAAAGGAAAAGGAAAAGGAAAAGGAAAAGGAAAAGGAAAAGGAAAGAAGAAAAGAAAAAAGAAAAAGGAAAAGAAAAAGAAAAAAAGAAAAAGAAAAAGAAAAAGAAAAAGAAAAAGAAAAAGAAAAAGAAAAAGAAAAAGAAAAAGAAAAAGAAAAAGAAAAAGAGAAAGAAAAGGAAAAAGAAAAAGAAAAAAAAAAAAAAGAAAAAGAAAAAGAAAAAGAAAAAGAAAAAGAAAAAGAAAAAGAAAAAGAAAAAGAAGGAGAAAAATACCCCTCTACAGCAATAAAAAAACTCCACCACTGTACAAAGCCTATGAAACTTTCACCTTATGTTTTATTAGAAAGCATACACAGGAAATTCTGTAGTGTTTTTATCTCGCCTCTCTCCCAAATAAATTGTTTGATCTTCCAACACTGTGTATCTACAAATTTCAGGATGATGCATGTTATTTAGGTTGACTCCTACCAGATCCCCTTCATTCCCAGATCTGTTATATCCTCCAGAGGGATCTGTGGTGAAATACCATTATCCTTGGGTGGTCAAAAGGAGTTGTGACCCAAAGTTTAGTGCTTCCTCCATAATTCTAAAATACCAAAGACAGCTTATATATTAATGGCAGTTAACCACCTGAATATTAGTTCTCAGGGAAACAGAGCAGCTAGGCAGTTGAAAATATCTTCAGACACATAATTCAAAGGCTATCATGTAAGGTCAAAAATTAGAAGTATTGTCTCTTTGTGAAATCCCTGCTTTAATCATGAGTCCATTTCTGGCATCTGTTCTACAAAAAAAAAGTTGAAAATAATGAGTATCATTCAGATGAGAGCTACGAGAATGATTCAGTCTAGAAAACCTTCAGTATAGAAAGAACCTAAAGAAATACAATATATTTAATTTTTTTCCAGAAGAGTAAGAGGAGTCTTGATCATGATTCAAGTACCTCCATAGAGAAGAGAGTTCTGATAGCAGAAAGTATGCTGGGTTACCAGAAAAAAATACCACCATGCAATTAGAAGTTAATTCAAGAAGGGAAAGAACAGGCAGGTTGTTTAAGCATTAGATTTACTGACTCATGAACTTAATATATTGTCTTTTCTTTAATATCTTGCTATGCATCTTTATAAATTACACCTTATAGGACAAGCTATAGACTGTGTTAAAATTACTCAGTGAGCTTCTCCTTGGTATTCATGGGATGACTCCCATAGATTTCATTATGAACTCCTAGGGCTGCATCTCTTCACAAGGATATGAAGCTGTGAACTTCTCAACTGCTTTAGCCTATTATTTCTGGGGTGTAACACTGGAGTCACTGACTTCATAGAATTATAGACCAGACCAGGTTGAAAGGGACCTTGAAAGATCATCTCAGTTCAACTTTTGTGGGAAAGCCTAGATGAGATTGTCTAGCACCCAGTCCAATCGCAAATCTCCACATCCCTGGGAGATTGTTCTAGTGGCTGTTCTCGCTGTAAAAAATTGCAAACCTTTCCTGGTGCAACTTGTACCCATTAATGACTTGATGCACGTGACAATATATCACTGTATGCCTACTGTCCTGAGAAACATCAAAGACACACTCCCATGAGAGTCCAGCATGTCCCTTTCATTTTTACATAATTCTGGAAGCCTCTCCTGGGTCTGTAGAAGTAAAATTGTCCTTGTACAATTCTCCTCTCTAAGAAATCTACAGGGAAAAATAATTCATTTTCTCGATTTTAATGTGAAAAATTTAAAAGGGATGAATGCCACCTTCTTCCTCGTTTCACAGCTGAAGTACTTGGCCAATGATTTGTGGCACTACCACCTCCTTCAAGCCTCTCCTTAGGACTGAATTCATCTTACAGACTCATTTGTTTTAGGCAAAACCAAGGACTTTTAAGATTTTACCTTTCCATCATGTTAATGTGACTTCTTGGTCTTTGATACCAAGAGTGTATCTTCATATATGCTTGGCATAGTGGGAGCAATTCTCTCTTACTACAACATACCAAATAATAAGTAGAATAAATTTGTGTGTATACGAAAGGTGATGTTTTAGGCCAGGAATCGACCATCTGAAAAGAACTTTGCAACAGGAAAGGCTGAGGATGTGATTCTGTTTAAGACAGCTCTTATTCCTGAATTGCATATATCAGTTGAAAATGATAGAGAGAGTAACACAAAAAGAGCACAATAAGCAAGTTCAAAGAATTAATAAGGAGGTAAAAATAGGTATATTTTTCATACTGTATAGGTCTGAAAGATAGGAAGGCCCATTACGTTCATCTAGTCTGCAATATGTGCCAAAGACTATCACCCAGTAATTCCTGCATCAATTCTTAACAGGCAGTTCCACCCTAAGAGAGATGCTGATAAAGGATGAGATTACAAAACATTTGGGGATGTATAAATCAGTCAGCATGAAATCATAAAGGTAGCAGTTAAATTCTAAGTTAGTTGGAATGCAGAATCAATGACCATGATTTATTTGAGGTGCAGAAAAGGCCTGGAGACTGTTCCATTCAGCAATTGATTGGATAGGAAGAAAAAAAAAAGAAAATTAAGTTCAGATGAGACAAAGAAAATTTAAAAGCAAGATGTGAATAGACTCTCCAGTTGCAACACTTCTATTTGCCTTATTTGTAATATCTAAGGATATTAAAAATGGGATTTTCAAAAGAATGTAAGGAAATTAGTGTCCACACCCTTTTGAATGTAATGACTTTGAACAATTTGTCCCTTAATGTTTCATGGAAAAGCCAGTCTCGAGGATAGATGCCTGAAACGGCAACTGATTTAAAAAGCATTAAGAATCATAAAGCTTTATTAAGAAAGGCGCCTAGGACGTATTGTCCTGAACAAAGCAGAATTTTTTTTATTGACTTTGCTTTAAGAATGTACTCTGATTCTTTCATTGGGATGGGGAAGCTAGGTGCATTTTGGAAGTAGAAAGAAGTAATCTCAGCAACTACATTTAATACAATAAAAAACTGAAAAGTATTAAAATTTACGAAAAAATGGTCTCAGAGTCATCACATAATTTTGTGGTAGATCTCGGTACCTGACGGGAGAGTGTCTCAGCTTGTGACAACGTGCTAATAGAAGGAATGTTGCAGCCATCGAAAGTGTTTCTTCTTGTACTTATCCTGTCTCGTTCGTTTTGTACAGCTGGAAAAGAATAATCATCTCATTTATTGACTTGGAGACATTGCCACACAATATAATTTCTGAAGTTTACTTGATAACTGCAGGAATCAAAAGGTATAACATTCAAAAAAGAACCTGTGCTTTCAACTTGGAGTAATGAGGAAGGATGACAATGTGTATTTATGGTCTTTATCTGTACACTGTTTGCCTGTTAAAACTAGGTATAACTAATTGCAGATAGATACTAAATTATCAGCACTCTTGTGACTGGCTTTATTAAAGTAGAACCTCTTTCTTTCTTTGAATGGGAACACATACTGTCATTTTGTTATTTTAACCAATTTAATAAGTGAGGCTTTATGATAATGGCAGAAGTGGACATTTCCAGACTGCTGAACGGGTCAAGAGGTACAGCACCACCACTGACAAAATGTCTGTTAGACAAAGTCTAAAAGCCCTACTCCTTCTCTGCTGTGAGAAACCCTGAAATAGGAATGAATTACAAACTTAATTCACTAGGAAGATAATTTTGAAAATTGCATCTCATGCTCTTCCTCAGTGACACTGCATTCCTAGATGGTTTACAGAACATTAACAGTTTATTTTTTTTAAAAAAAAAAACAGCCCTAAAAAAATTTCAGGCCAGTAAGTTTTGTCTCATGGGGTCCAAAAAAAAGACAGCGGAAAAGGCTTTGGTTAAGGAATCCTTAATCAGCACATTCAGGGCTTGTGAAGCAACAAGGCTTACTTTTGAATTGAAGGAAGAAATAAAAAGAAAACTATCAACCAGATTTTTCTAAAACCTAGATCATGTCCAAGGTTAGGCCAAAGAGAAAAGGAAAAAAAAAATTGTGCTGATTAAAATCTTTTTATTGCACAAAGAATCTCATCATCTTTTAAGAGCAGCAGCTTTATTTCCAAAGATATGTTCACTCTTTTGTGGGAAACAATCTGCATTACACAATTTAGGAGTAGTATCAAAGGCTTCAATAAAAAAAATAAAATATTCTATACACTGAATACTTTTCAGGGTTTATCTGAACAAGGCACATAGTTTATTCCAGAGGTGTACTTACTTTTTGCCAAGGACACTCACTGATGGGACTTTTATTAAGGTCACAGTAGAAATGTGCAGTGATAAACATAAAGTGCTAAACACCCACGTGGACAGGAAACAAAAAATATAAGCTTTTTTAAAAGAATGGTGAAAAAAACATCACTGAATCTCAGCAGCTTAAGTGCTACGTAGACAATTAAAATAAGGTCCATGCTGATTTGTATTAGAAAAAATAGTAAGTTATTCTGACAATCATTAGTGGAAGTCACTGGTGGAACACTTTGAAAATCATAGGGAAATGCTTCAATTTTCTCCTGTGTATGCATAATTCTGGATTATTAGACTGGATTGTCTGTCTTGCTAAAGCCTTTTTGTCAGTTCAAGCTACATTGCCTTAAGCAGACACTCTACGAGCAAAGGGGAATATTTGCTCAAAGAGGGCTTGTGTAGCTTTTACCATCTGAAGCCTTTCTCATCTCTGCCCTGAAGAAACGGTGGCAATTTGCTAGAAACAAGCTGAGAAACTCGCCTATAGACTATGCTACACTTATGCTATGAGACATCCCCTGATGATGTACAGAGGTATGTAACAACACACAAGCAGTGAAATTTACAGTTCAGCGTTTTGAAATATTGTAGCACTGGGAAGCCTTGAATAAACATGGCTTGGCCACAATGAAAAATATAAGTTTTATATAAGTAGTGGGGCCAGAGGAGGCAGAGTGGTGTAAATTAGGTTGTAAGTTTTGTGCAGGACACACCTTCACTTCATAAACATGAATCATGGTGTGTCTCATGGTGATGTCAGCTAGCCATGCAGTAGGCTGCGTTAGCATCTTGAAGGAAGTGATTATTTCTCTAGTTTGTGCTCCCCAATATAGGAAAGATGCTGAAAACTGGGCAGTGTCCAGTGGAGGGCTATGGAGATGTAACCCACAAGATGCATATGGTGAAGCAGAGAGAAGCATCTTTGTTTATGTGGGAAAGAGAGGACCAAGGTGGAGGAGTCTACTACTAATTTCTGTAGTTTACAGAAGATGAAGCCAGGTTCTTCTCAGACACACAGTGAAAGGACAAGGGGCAATAGACCCTAATTGCCGTAAGACACATTACAATTAGTTGTAAGGAAGAAACTCTTCCCAATGAGGGTGATAAAGCACTGGAAGAAGTTGCTGAGATTGGTTTTGGAATCTCACCTCTCAGAAACTGTATAAACCTGTCTGGAGAGAGGCCCAAGCAACCTGAATGAACCTAGAAGTTAGCCTTGCTTTAAATGGAAGCCTGGACTAGATGCTTTCCAGATGTCCCTTTTGAGCTAGACTATTCTTTAATTCCAGGTTTTGAAATTCTGGGACGCTCTGCTTTTTGCAGAACTTTTAGGGCTGCTGTGGACACAAAGGTCTTCTCTTCATGTCAGATTGATATTATATGTACAATATGTTACTGATTTTAATAGCTCAAATTTCAAAAGCATAAATTGTGTTCAAGGAGATCCAGAAGAACTGTCAAGCCTACTTCATACAGGCACAGTGTAACACTGTTTAGACTATCTCCATCCAGCTGCAAGGAGAAAATCTACTTTACCTCACACCAAAACTTGATCACTAGCAAAACAGTACTACAGCGTAGCAATAGTAGAGCATAAAGAAACAGCTTCCTTTTATCTTAGGAAAGTTATGTATAGACTAAAGCTAGACTATAACCTTGTTACAGCTCTGGAGAACTGCACATTCCCATTGCAGACAGGCCTTCTGTGATGAACCAGTTTTGAATGCTTATCTCAACAAGATCAGGCCATCTTTTGCCTCTACCTCGTAACCGCCAGCGAAGCAACAGTCCCACCAACCCAATAGAAAAATCCTCTGATATCCTCACTGCCTTTCTT